AGGGGAGGGGAGGGGCTCTGATACTGGAAATGAGCTGCCTTCCTGGGCAGGTGAGTTAGATGGTGATCCCTAGGAGATTGCTGTAATCCTGTGTTACTTCTTTTACTGTAAGCGACATGGAAGTCAGTGGAAATTAATTCTGAGTAGACCTTTGTAAGAGTAGACTTTTAGTCTGTTGCAGCACAAACAAGTGTTTGTGTCCACCTTTCTAAAGGCTGAAAACACTGTTATGGCATCAGTTATCTCAGGCAAGAGACTGGACATTTATTGCTGTTTAATTCTGCATCTCCTTTTAGCAGTTCAGGGTGGCTTACAGATGTCTCCCCCACACACCCATCCACCTGCCACAGCAGCTATCCTAGGAGGTATGTTAAAGGATAGTGAATCTAAGCAACTGGCATTCAGCTCACCATATCACTGTGGCTACTTCATCACATTAATGGGTTGGAAAGGATGATGCATCAGGCTGTTGTGGGATGAAGCCTCTGTTCTGCAAAGTGGAATAAAAAATGAATTACCTTGTAACTATGCACGAATCAAATTACTAAGGCTTGGTAAACCCATCGCTAGGGCCAAACCAGGCAGTCTATCGCCAAGACCTGCCATGGACTGATCTCTGCCACAGAAAGGCAATGTGTGAGTGTGTGTGCACGCACACCGTGATTTGCAACTTTACTTGGGACCAGTTTGGACTTTGAACTTGTGCAGTTCATCCTCACCTGCTACTTTCCTCACTGTCAGTAGAGAATCATCATCATAATGTGAGACGAGGCAAGGCATAAGTTCAGTATAGTCCAAGGAGAAGAATCCTGGTTTGAGTGGTTGCACTTGAACAGAACCTGTGTTCAAATGTTTTCCAAATCTAATATTCCACCTACTGTTTTCCTTTTCCTTTTAAGAATTAAGACTTTAGTATAAATTTACCAAATCGAGTAGCTCTGTGTGTTCATTAGCATAGAATGCCACAGGATTGCTAAACTGATACTTTTGTTAAGGCTAGCCAGTAATGGCAATGCAAGATGAAAGTTTTTAAATTGTGCCCAATCTCTCCTCGTTGCAGGACATTTTATATACAAAGAAGCCAGAAGATAGATGGCTCTGCATTGTGTTCCACCTAACCATCCTTACCTCACCTGGTACCCTACAAATGTGTTGGACTA